CCGAATTCTACTCCTGTTCTATCTAAATGTATGAAGAGAAGTAAACCGCGTCCTTGTGCGTGCATGGTATGTGTTCATGTGTATGTACGTGCGCTCACACGTACACGTACCTATGTGGCATGTGCAGCACATGAGCGTGCATTTGTGCAGCACACACATGCATGCTACATGTGTGTTTGTGTGTGGTGTGTTTGTGCATGTGCAGTATGTGCATGCATGTGTGTGTGTGAAGGAAATAAGGAGAAAGAATCAAAGAACACTCCCAGGCAAGACAAGTAAAGAGACATTGCAAGGAATTTTTAAACCATTGTAAATGCGTCTCAAGGTCATGGCTCTTTCAATGACGCGTGCTAGGCAGCAGCAAAGCAAAGCTCGGCGCGCCCTGCGCTCAGCAGGCAGCGCCGGCAGAGGTAGCCATGTCCCTGTAGAGGAAGCACTTGCCGGCCGCACGTGTGAGTCGGCGGCTGTTGCGTGAGGCTGCGTGGAAACGAAAGTGTTGGCTTTTTTTCTGACCTGTGCTCCTTACTGTGTGCACTCGGTTTTTCTTTGTCATTGAATAGCACTGGTGTATTAGGCTGTGCACTTCAAGGGCACAGGGAGATTGCGTGTAGAACAGGTCTGGCTGGGAAAGTGAGAGCCACGGTATCAGATGCCACCCAATGCGCTGGTGACAAGCACAGCACGTGGACCAGGAACCGGGGCTGTATCTGTTCTGTAGCAGAAGCGCTCACCATTTATTAAGCGTTTTTTAAACCTGATGGAGCTTATCTGCTATTGCTCCTTCCTTGCTCTCTGCCCACTATCTCTTCCCACCTAAGCACCACGGTTTCTGCTGACGTGATTATCAAGATCGGCAAGTCCCTGAGATGTGCTCGGGGTTCAAGGGCAGTAGGGCCATGCTCTCCGAGGCAGGCGCAGCTGTACATGATCATGCAGGGCAATCGGTGCAAGTGGAAGCGCAGAGTTCAGCGTAATTAGTTTTGCTTTCTTCGTGGGTGACCGAATCTCAGAATGATGCTCCCGTTTGAAACAGCTTCCCCACTCTCTGCCCTTCTGTGCCTCCAGCAATGTGAAGTGGCCATAACACAGCACCCGCACGCACGTCACTCACAGGAAGAAATCTGCGTGGAGGAGTTAATTTCTGCCTCCACTTCCAAGTGGTGATGGAAGCTCAGAGCCTGCGCTTTGGACCAGCCCGTTTCCTGTAGCTGCCCTGCCTTTCTCGGGTGTGGCTCCACCCATGGCATCAAGTCAGATGAAGACGTAAGCTTAGGGAAAAATGACTCGGAAATGATTAGGAAGGTAAAATGATATGACATTAAATGCCTGATACTCTAAAACACAAATCTTGTTTTATGTGCAGCTGCTGTTTTGGATTATCCATGCCTCCTCTGGCTTCAGCCAGCATGGAAAATCCTTTAAGATTTCTACTTCAGTCATTTCCTCTGGGGGCATTTTCTGGCCCCGTCAAGCTGGGCCGAATCCCTTTCTGCCATGTTCCCACAAGGACGGCTGCTTGAAGTTTCTGCCATCGAACTGACCTCCTTGCTTTAACTAGTCATCAGTTTATGTGGCCGTCTGTCAGCACACCTGGCTTTCTCCGGGCTTAGGGCCTCTCTGCGGCCGCAGGGCTCTAACGCACAGCCTGGCACGTGGTGGGCGTTCCAGAGACGTTCCAGAGCCGTTCCAGGAAGGCAGGGACGAGAGCAGTTCCAGCGCAAGGAGAAGCCTGCTCTTCGTCGCCGTTCGTTAATTCTGCAGGACCCGTATCTGGCCGTTTGTCTTCTCTCTGCAAATCCCTTATCAACCACAGAGGAAAAGGGAGAATTAATAGCTCCCTGAACGATGGCCCCGGTGAGCACTGCATCCACTGCCAGTGTAGGGGTGGCATATTTTTTTGGTTCCGACACCCGACGATTTACGGTGACGAGTCTGAAGCCCGGGAAGGACTGTGTCCCGTTGAATTTGGGAGCCCTCTCTAGAGAATTCTGTCTAAATGACCACCACGTATAGTGACAGCAGAAAAAGGCTGGAAATAAATCTAAGACACACTCAAAAATGTGTTTGTAAAACCATCTGAATTTGGCATCTTATTAGGAGGAGTGAACCAGTATGAAAATAAACCTTAGTAAATTATTAAACATTTTCTCATTATATCCAACTTTGAAATCACCTTGGCCGTACCCTGTATATATATATTTGTATTTATTGCACAACGTTCACTTATTTTAGGCTGGCATGTTAGTAGCGTGCTCCCCACAGCTTATACGCAGTTTGATTTTTGTTTCTTGAGGGCTGTTCTTTGCAACTGCCAGTGCCCTTTGTAACCCTGACATTTTACAGTGCAGTCCTGGGCCTCTCCTGGATTCATGGCGACTTTGAACCCCTGCTGCATTTCGCTGGTGGCTGGACTTTCACATGCACTTGTTCAATGGGAGCCTCCTGCACGCCTCTCAGGCTTTTTAACATTGGAGCTGTGTGCTGTGTGTCCGCGGGCTCCGGCGCCCTCCCTCGCCAGCTCTGCGCCTTTGCTGACCCTCCGTTTTGCCAGCTGTAAAATGGGGGTAATAATAGAGCTGCCCTGTAGGTACTACTATCAGTCACTGTTTAGAACTGCACCTGACACATGGGCCCTGCTCGCCCCATTGATGGCCTTCTTGGTGTCATGTGTTTCCACACAGTGGATTTCCAGTGTCACAGCCAGATCTCTTGAGCAGGGGCTCATGGCTGGTGTTTCCATCTTGCCCTTGGGGGTGACTTGAGTGGCATGTCACACACCGACTCTGCCAGCTTTGAGGCCCCACACAACCTCGTCCCGTCCCGCCCATCGGGACAATCCAGCCGTAGGTCCATTTTCTGTGTTGCTGACTTCCCTGGGTCTTCATTACACTGTGTTACTACTGCGTCTCCATGTTTAACTTTTTCTTAAACCTCACCTGAGGATATGTTCTTATTGAGTTTAGAGAGAGAAGGAGGAGGAGGGGGGAGAGAGGAGGAGCGAGAGAGAGAGCGCGAGAGAGAAACGTGGACTGATTGCCTTCCATGTGTGCCGCAACTGGGGATTGAACCTGCAACTTTTTGGTGTACGGGACGATGCCCCAACCAACTGAGCCACCCAGCCAGGGCACTGGGCATGGTTTAATCACCCAAATAAACAGAAGTTCTTTCACTAACTCAAACAAAAGAATAAAACCATGTTCAAACATTTCTTGGGATTCTAAAATGTTTCCTTTGTCTTTCACATCTTTAGGAAAATTTTACTAATGGGAGTTAATCTTGTCTGTATTGATCCTTGAATAATGATGATCTTTGAAGTCTCATGACTTAATATTTGTTAAATGAAGTCAGGCCCCACTTGGTACTTACCTTTTTTGTTAAAAGAACATTCCAATAAAATGGGTAACATTCGACAAACTTTGTGATTGATGCTGAACTGATGAGGGCCCTTTGGCCTCCGTTTTCAAACCTGAGACCTCCTTGCGTGGACCTCATGGTGCCGTCCTCACTCACGGAGGACCCTGGGGCCGAGGCTCCCGGGAATCACTGCCTCATTCTAATGCTGAGTCTGCCCGGGCGTTACTCATCGCCTGTGCGCTTGTCCAGGCAGAGGTCACTGGCCTCTTATTATGCAAACAAAGAACACAAGGCAGTGAAGCCTAGTGAGACCTGCTTCCACTTGACCTTCTCCTGTCTTCCTTGTTGACACTGAAAACACTATGGCTTGGTAATTTTTTTCATCAGTCTCACAGGGACATTTTGGGATTGTTGGTTATGATGAAGATTTATAGAAAATGTTGCTGGGCGCTCCAGTGAGAAATCAGTGTGAGAGTCTGGCCCACACCCTGTCACGTGCGTGTTGACCAAAACAGCGTCCTGAGAGCCCCCGATGGAGACTCCAGGTTGAGAGGCAGGCAGTATGGCTTCTGCTTCCTACACACCCCGACTTCAGTGTCCATGAGCCCTTCAGCATCAATTATCTTTGAGACTAAAGAGTGGAATCGAAATAATGATAAATACCATAATAGCCATAATAATAGTAATTATAGAAATGGCAACAACATCAATAATTACAACCGCCAGCTGATGGAGACGTGTCTGCTGCTGCCGGCTCTGCTGGGCGTCACGGGGACAACCCGTCAGTGCTCCCCGGGAGAGGGAGGCCCTCTCATTGCTCAGAGGACGAAACCGGGTCCGAGCTTGCCCACAGCCCACCAAATCTGTTTCTTAGATCCTCACCCTAGGGTATGTTTTTATTGATTTTAGAGAGAGAGGAAGTGCGGGGAGAAAGAGAGAGAAACATCTATTGGTTGCCTCTTATATGGGGCAGCCAATAGATTCCCAAATGGGAATCGAACCTGCAACCTAGCTATGTGCCCTGACTAGAAATCGAACCTGGAACTGAGTTACCCGGCCAGGGCCAAATCTTTTGTTTTTAATTAGTAAAGTGCCTCTGTGATCTGTTGAGCCATAGCAGTCATTCATCCCTTCAACACTGGGTGACTATGAGACACTGAGTTTATCTCCAGCAGGAGCTGAACTCCCAGCTCTGGAAGCCGAGCAGTCGCTGTCCACTCCCCAGGTCTGTTGCTTTCCGGGGAACGAGCCTGCGGTCCCTTGCTACCACCAGAGAGGCCCCTCCAGTTCACCCATGGGAAGGGAGCTGTTCCTTGCTCACGTTCTCTTTCCCCTACTCCATGGCCAAGCTCTCGGCTTCCAGGTGGGAAAGGGGAGCGGTACCGAGCACATGGGGGTCCATGCCAGAGCCCGATGCGCTGCCTTTTGAAGCGCAGGGCGAAGGTGGCACAGTGCCAGGCTCCAGCTCTGGCTGCTGCAAAGACACGGGCGACCCGCGCCCGTCACACCAGTGGATTCAAGTTTTCCAAACACGGGATCTCATCATCATTAGCAGTTTGACCGAGATCCTTTGGTGTCTCGCTTTTAATTAAGTGGTGCCGGGCTTTGTTCAGTCTTTGCCTCAGCTTTGGGTTCCTGTTTTGCAGAAACCAGCGTGAAGGAGAAGGCCGTGAAGTACATGGACGCACTCGTGGACAGGCTGCGCAGGTAGGGAGAGCGGTGCTTCCGATGCGGCCACGGCTTGCCTGGGTTCTGCATTCTGACAGTAGTGAGTGTGAAGACAAGGGCTAGCCAATTTCTGTAATAAATTAACAAGGAAGAACACAAAAAGGAGTCCTTTGAATCTTGCAGTGGAGGAAGCGGGAGTCACACAGCTATCGCCCATTCCTTCTGTCCTCTTATAAAAAGTAAATAGATTGAAATGTTTAGAAGTGTCTGCGGGAGATCACAGATAGTTTTCATGTTCTCTAAGAAGAATCTTCTTCGGTTTCTTAGGTTCAAGCTTCATGCCTTGTTCTATTTCTCTTTTTCTTGTCTGAAGTGGGGAGGCGTTCTTACGGATTCTGACCCAGCTCCTGCATATTTTGGAACACTATAAGAATGCACATCTTAGGTTCTGTTTTGAATCCTGATTCAAAACCAGCATGACAATTCCTGGTTTCTTTAAAAAAAAAAAATTTTTTTTAACCCAATTCGTTATTCAAATCTGAGAAATGTTAGGGACCCTGCAGCCTGTCAAGATGTTTCTGGTTTCCGAGGACAAGTCCTCGTGAGAGTGAACCCTGGCTCCCAGGACCTGTTTCTAATTAAGGAAACAAGTCTGAGCACGTAAAACATGCCGCTGCTTCCCTGAGAGCCATCTCGCTTTACCGAGACTGTTTTGCTGCTACTTTGGAAATTGTTAAATAGCTCCTTGTGTAGGCCATGCCGCAGACCTTTGTCTGCCGAGACAACGCCATCCGCGAAATAACGCTTCTCCCTTCAGGGATGTTAAGAGGGGCTGCGTTGCTGAGCTCTGCTCTGCTCTGCAGGGCAAGCAAGGCGCTACAGGATTTGTTCTAATGCTTGGAGAGCAAGTCCTTCTGACCGCTGGTTGGCACCTCCCTGCCTCGGAGCCCCAGAGGTGGGGAGGAGCCAAGACAAAGGTGGTCAGTAGGGACTGGGGCGAGGTGGGGGTAAGGAGAGCGCGTGGGTGAGAGGCGTCCTCTAAGGAAGTGCCTCTCTGCTTAGGAAGTACGATGCTCACCTGGGCCAGGTGCACTGCTCTGAGTCCATGTCCTCAGTTCCGGGGCACGTTTCTGCGTGTCCCTCTTGAGCTTAAAACTCCGACTGCCATTTTTTAGCCATGAGCACCGTGCACCTGCCACGTTCCACGGGGTTACCGGGCAGCCGGCTGAGGCTCTGAGAGCACGCGTGTCACCACGCCCCTAACCTCAGGTTCACGCTCACCTTGCTTCCCCTGCAGTAAGAGTGGAGGACAGGCGCCGCCTCCGGGGTCGCGTTAGGGTCTCATTAAACGCTGCACTCGGGGCGCTCCCTTGGCTGGCAGTCAGCCCGCCTCACTCCGGTGGCCTGCTGCTCCTTCTGACCCTCGCAGCCGGGACTATAGGGCCCAGGATGCCTCCTCCTCCCTCCCAGCCAGTGCCTCCCGCTGTGTGTCCCGCCCCTGACGGCCAGCCTGGCCCACCACCCTGGCCCCGTGGACTCACGCTGTCCCCTCTCCCCGTCTCCCGCCCGGACTCAGTCACCGGGTCCTGCCAGTCCGCCTCTTCTTGTCCACGCTGCGCGGGCCTGTCTGCTCTCACGAGGGACCGGCACAGCCGCTTTTGAGGCTTTCCTGCCTGCAGCTTGCCCTTTCTCCAGCCGGTCTGGAGCGAGCCCATGCAACGCAAGCCTGGCCATTGCTCATCCCCGCCGCGGCCGAGGAAGCCGGGACGCCCTCCTGTGGCGCAGCTTCTGCCCGTGTGGCCTCTGCGTGCCTTCGGTGCCGTCCGGCATGCCGGGCTCCCGTTGTCCTGGGCCTCCTGTGTTCCCCAGTGCTGCTGTGGTTTTTTCTGGGGAGAAACTAATTTGGAAGGAACCGGGCAAGACATACTATCCAGGGGAGTGTTAGGTTGAACCATGTGAAATTACTGATATTAGATCACTTTTGACATAGAAAAATGGCAATTTCATGTAGCCCAACCCATGACATGGGAATTAGAAGAAAATCTGCTGGAGAGTCTGCTTCCTGGGACACCGCCTGCGTCTGGGGGTGCTCGCTCTCCCCCGCCCCCCTTCACACCGGCTCTGCTGGGCCTGCCGGCTCCACCCCCAGCGGCCTTGCATTAGTCTAAGCCCTTTCCATCCTCACGTTTGGGATGCCTCCTCTTTGAAGCCCTCCATGACTCCCCGACGCTGAGTGATGTGCTTGCTCTGGGGGATCCTCCTCGCTGTCCGAGGGCTTCATTTCAGGTCAGGCATTGAAGGGGCTGCTTGTCCTGTCTAGACTGTGTCCTCAGTGATTCGACTGTGCTGAACAGCGATGGGGTGCCCAGCAAGAATGTCTTGAGTGAACGTTTAAATAAATGAACGAGTGAACGCAACTAATCCATGGACTGCCAGCCTCATCTCCCACCACCGTCCGCCTCTCTCGCTGCCTCTCCAGCCACGCGGGTGTGTGACTCATAGACATTCGTCCCTGAGGGTCCTCCAGCAGGGCCTCAGTGACGGGGTGGCAGCTGGCCCGTCCTGCAGCCGCCTTCCTGGGGGCGCGCTCCATTGCCAGGCCAGCCTGCAGGAGGCCTGGCTCCCGTGGGTTTGAACCAGCGCAGCAGGCGCACTGGAACGGGGAGGAGACAGAGCAGCCGGACTCTGTAACCGCCCTGGCAGCAGGCGAGTAGCAGGCACAAGGTGGGTGAGCCTTGGGGTGCGTGAGGTGGTTTCCAGGGTGCCTGAGCGCAGGGGCCAGGCCGGCTGCTGGTGCAGGGGTGGGAACGGTCAGGGGCTCCCTCTGGGGACAGTCCCGTCCCCGCTCCGCCCTGGCCCAAGGAGCGCCAGCTGCACGGTCCCATCACAGCCCCAGTTCTTTCCCAGAGAACCAACTTCTTGAAACACAGAAACTGTTTTTAGCACCTGGTGCAGTTTGCAGCACAGTGGCAGCTCCATTAATATTGCGAGATATCGACCAAAGCCAGGTGATCGAGGCTGATGAAAACCTGTCGGGAGCATCTCAGCCTCACGGGGGTTGAGGAGGAAAGCAGCCAGAGCTGAGTGGATCGCTCACGTTCCCTTGGAAGGTTGTAGAAGACACGCTTTGCCATCGGCGCTCCAGTGAGACTTGGATTTCGCCAGTCGTGATTTTGGAAGCAAATTGAACTGACCAGAGTATCTTTGTTCCTGTCTTGAAGCACACCGAGCCCGGGAGCCCCCAGCACTGAGACTCCCTGGGGAGGGCCCCACGCCCCGCCCCCTCGCAGGAAAGTCAGGTGAATCAGAGAGGCGGGATCATCCGATGCCGTCAGCGGTTCAGAGGGACGTCCTGCAAAGGACAAAACAAAAGGTGTGCAAATAGCAAAGAGGGTTTGTAGTGCGTATTTCAACTGGATTTGCCTTTTAATAATCCAAATGATGCATGTAAACCTGATTCAGAAAGTTTTGTTCAAAACCTATATTTTGAAAACCATGTTTTTATTTGTTATCCTATGATGTTAAAGCTGCCAAATATTGGATGCGCCTAAAAGTGTCTCCATTCATTATTTTACATACTCAGGCTGCCTATACAATCCAGCAAAACTGTATATAGACGAATAGTAAAGTTATGAATTGATAATTGCACCCATAAACTCTTTATTGCATAAAACATACATGAGATTAAGTCAAGAAATACATATACATGTGTGTGTATATATATATATATAAACACAAACTTATAATGCAAAAGAAACATATTTCTTTGTATTTATTTTGAAACTCCTTGTAGTGACGATGCACTGAATGGGTCTGGAGGTGACAGCGTCCCCTTTGGTATCTAACCTCTGTTGGGGAGTGACTTACAGGCTGGGGAGAGCTGGCTCACCAGCTCCATGTTGGTGACTGGCAGGAAAGAGCAAAACTCAGCAGGTGCGCCTTGTTCCCAGGAGGATCATGGACTGATAGGAAAATCCGAGTTATAAGTTAGACGCAGTATAACATGTTCCTGTTTGCCATCTCCAAAGGAGAGAGATGGCCTGGGGTTTCTCTCCCCGACCTGTTTTGGGGGTAGCTCTCCTTCGCCATAGCTAGAGCTCGTTAAATCACCTCACCGCCTCCTTCTGGCCGCGCGCCGTTGCAGGCCGCGTGTCCCCGCAGCCAGGGTGACCCTCTGACTACCCTGCTCACAGTCTGTCCGGGCTCCCTTTGCTCCCTGCATACCGGCCGCACACGTGCTCTTTATTCTACGTTATGCAAGGTCATTTGGAAGTTCCTGGGCCCCCGGGACAGCCCGTTTTCCACCCACGTTGAGCGTGTTTCAGAAGCTGTTGAGGGAAGTGAATGTGAGAAGTGGGAGCTGGCAGATACGCGACCGGCTGCCGTGGGAACGCTGTCCCCCTGGGCGTAAAGAAAAGGAAAGCAGACGCACGTGGACGCCGCCAGCTGTTTTCGTATTTTTATGTTCTTGTTTTGTTGCTGACAGAGGCCTTCCTCCCCTCCCTTTTGACTTGGAATCAAACGCGTCACTCCTTCCCCCAGCCCTCGCTTCTGCGCGGAGAGCTCGGTGCCTTCCTTGCCGCCTCCTCGGCGCCTTGACCCCTTTCTGGGCTTGTCTGCTTCTCAGGTGGACAGAGGTTCTCAGCTTCTCTCTTTCTTTCTCTTCCTTGGTTTGGAGCAACCTTCCTGCGTTCCCGCGGGGGGCCGTTTGTTCTTTGTCTAACAGCTGCTCTCTGTGCGTCTCTGTCTGTCTGTCTGCCTCTCATCTCTCATTCGCAGAAGGAGACCTGTGGGCGACAGAGACAGGGAAACGCGTTTTCCTCCTTCCCTGGTACCCTGTCTCCATCCTTCACAGTCACAGGGACGGCCCGTGGGCTCCTGTCCGGTCTCCTGTTTACCTCTCCTGCCCTTTGATCGCTCTGCCTTGGGGCATGAGCTTTCTTTTTATCTGTCTGTGTTCTTGCCTTCTCTCCTTATTTGTCCTCACAGGGCTCAGTCCTCACGTACAGGAAATACTTTTATCTCTAATTGGTTGATAG